AATATGTTTACAGATATATTCCTAAGGCAAAGGAAACTAAGGAAAAAAATAAACGGGACTACATCAAAATAAGAAGCTTCTGCGGGTCTCTTTGATAAATGGTGTTGGGAAAATAGGACAGATACGTGCAAAACAAACAAACAAAACAAAACAAAAAACTAGACCACCAACTTACACCATACACAAGAATAAACTCAAAATGGATAAAAGGCTTAAATGTAAGTTGTGAAACCATAAAAATCCTACAAGAAACCATAGGCAGCAAAATCTCAGACATCTCTCATAGCAATATGTTTACAGATATATTCCTAAGGCAAAGGAAACTAAGGAAAAAAATAAACGGGACTACATCAAAATAAGAAGCTTCTGCACAGCAAAAGAAACCACCAACAAAATGAAAAGAGAGCCTACTGCATGGGAGAACATATTTGGCAATGATACATCTGATAAAGGATTAATATAAAAAACATATAGGGAACTCATACAACTTAAAAAAAGGAAGACAAACAATCCAATTAAAAAATGGGCAAAGGACCTAAATAGACACTTCTCCAAAGAGGACATACAGATGGCCAAGAGACATATGAAAAAACTAGAGGCCCAATGCACAAAATCTGTGCAAGAGTAGGCCATTGCAACCCTGGCTGCCTTGGCCCTCACAGCCCCAGCTTCGTCTGGAAGGTCATCCATACAGTTGTTCCACTGTTCGGCCATTTGGTCAATTTGCATACTGAGCTTTTATTATTTAGACTAGAGGCCCGGTGCATGAAATTCGTGCACTGGGGGGGGGGGGTTGTCCCTCAGCCCAGCCTGCACCCTTTCCAATATGGGACCCTTCGGAGGATGTACGACTGACATCCCTCTCACAATCTGGAAACACTGGCTCCCAACTGCTCGCCTGCTCGCCTGCCTGCCTGATTGCCCCTATCCGCTTCTGCTTGCCAGCCTGATTGATGCCTAACTGCTCCCCTGCCAGCCCGAACGCCCCCAACTGCCCTCCACTGCTGGCCTGGTCGCCCCTAACTGCCCTTGCCTGCCAGCCTGGTTGCCCCCAACTGCCTTCCCCTGCCGGCCATCTTGTGACGATGTGGGGGAGGCCATGTAGTGATGACATGGGGGCGGCCATCTTGTGATGATGTGAGGGCGTGAGGGCCACCTAGGCTTTTATTAGTATAGATGCTCAAAGTCACTAATCATCTGAGAGATGCAAATCAAAATAACAATGAGGTACCATTCTCACACCTGTCAGAATAGCTACCATCAACAAATCAACAAATAACAAGTGTGGAGAGGATGTGGAGAAAAGGGAACCCTAGTACACTGCTGGTGGGAATGCAGACTGGTGCAGCCACTGTGGAAAACAGTATGGAGTTTTCTCAAAAAATTAAACATGGAACTGCCATTTGACCCATTGATTCACGTCTAGGAATATATCCTAATAAACCTGAGACACCAAACAGAAAGAATGTATGCACCCCTATGTTCATAGCAGCACAATTTCCCTATGTTCATAGCAGCACAATTTACAATAGCTAAGATCTGGAAACAGCCCAAGTGTCCATCAGTAGAGGAGTGGATAAACAAGCTGTGGTACATTTATACCATGGAATACTATGCAGCAGTAAAAAAGAATCCCTTACTCTTTGGGAGGGACCTGGAGAGTATTACACTAAGTGAAATAAGTCAGTCAGAGAAAGACAAGTATCACATGATCTCACTCATATGTGGGATCTAATGAACAAAATAAACTGATGAACTGAGTGGATCCAGAGATATAAAAGCATGAAACAGATTATAGAATCTCAGAGGGAAGGCAGGGGATGGTGGGTGGGTGGGAAGACCACTGAAATAACTTGTATGCATATATGCATAACCCATGGAAATAGACAACAGGTTGGTGAAGGCCTGGGGCGAGGTGCAGGGGGGCAGGCTAGAAGGGGTCAATGGGGGAAAAGAGAGGACATATGTAATACTTTCAACAATATACATAAATTTTTTTTTTTAAAAAAAGAATAAAACAGTATGGAAATTCCTCAAAAAATTAAGAATAAAGTTACCATATGACCCAGCAACCCCTCTTCTGGGTATCTACCTGAAAATTTTGAAAACATTTCTTTGCAAAGATAGATGCACCCCTATGTTCACTGGAGCATTACTGATGGTGGCCAAGATATGGAAACAACTAAAGTGCCTTTAGCTAAGTGACTGGAAAAAGATGTGTTACATATATACAATAGAATACTACTAAGCCATAAGAGGATGAAATAGTGCCATTTGCAACGTGGATGGATCTTGAGAATATCATGCTAAGTAAAATAAGCCATTCAGAAAAAGAACTATATGATTTCACTCATATGTGGGATATAAATTGAAAGTTAACAAATGAACAAATAAGAAAAACAAATAAAAACTCAGACACAGACAACAGTATCGTGGTTACCAGAGGGAAGGAGAGTGGGGAGACAGAAATGGTAAAGTGGGCCAAATATGTGATGACAGAAGATGATTTGACTTTGGGTGGTGGACACACAATGCAATATACAAATCATGTATCACAGAAATGTACTTGAAAATTATATAATCTTATTAAGTAATGTCATCTCAGTAAATTTAATTAAAAAAGAGGACCCAAATAAAATTATAAATGAAATAGGAGTGACACCCAACACCACAGAAATACAAAGGATTATAAGGAAATACTACAAACAATTGTATGCCAACAAATTGGACAACCTGGAAGAAATGGATAAAGTCTTAGAAACACACAATCTTCCAAAACTAAGTCAAGAAGAACCAGAAAATGTGAATAAACCAATAACTATTAACAAAATTGAATCAGTATTAATAGAAACTCCCAACAACAAAAGCACGGAACCAGGTGGCTTCACAGGTGAATTTTAGCCATCATTCAATACCTATCCTTCTCAAACTATTCTAAGAAATTAAAGAGGAAGGTTCCTAAGCTCATTTTAAAAGCCGGCATTATCTTGATACTCAAACCAGAGAAAGACATTACAAAAAAAGAAAATTATAAGCCAATATCCTTGATGAATGAACATAGGTACAAAAATCAATATTAGCAAACCAAATTCAACAATACATTAAAAAGATCATATCGTACACCAGGATCAACTAGGATTTATTCCCAAGATGGAAGGCTAGTTCAATATCCACAAATCAGTTAACATGATGCACCACATAAACAAAACAAAGGATAAAAATCACATGATCGTATCAATAAATTCAGAAAAAGCATTTGACAAAATCTAGCATCCATTTATGATAGAAGCTCTCAGCAAAGTGGAACATACCTCAACATAATGAAGGCCATATATGACAAATCACAGCCAACATCATACTCAATGGGCAAAAATTAAAAACGTTTCCCTTAATATCAGGAACAAGACAGGGATGTCCGCTTTCACCATTTACATTCAACAGGGTACTGCAAGTCCTAGTCACAGTAATAAAACAAGAAATAAAAGGCACCCAAATAGGAAAGGAAGAAGAAATTAATAATGGAAGAAGTAAATAATTTGTCATTATTTGCAGATCACAAATCTTCATTAGTCATTCAGTGTCACCCTATACTCTCAGACCTAGTATGCTGTCCACATGTCTATGTTTTTCCAGTTGGTACTAGAAATCATTGATCCCATCACTCCCCAAACACTTCCTCATGTTGGTTCCTGTGGGATGACCACAATTATCATTTCTTATTTTTAGCTCCTCACACCATTCACAAGATAATGTAGGCTGTCAAAAACATACCAAGTCATTTTAACTACAATATCATTCAGTCATACCAAAGGTACTAAACTCCAGGATGACTTGGTTTCTGTGGCCCTCCAGTCAGTGCATTCATGCAGAATGCCTGCTACAAACTATTCCTTTGAAAGAGTATTTATTTATAAAATAAATAAATTTTATTTTTCCATTTACCATATTCTCCATGGATATTCTGACAATAAATATGTGACTTACATTAGCAGCATTACTTTTAGGCCAGATTTTAGAATTTTAGAATAACAATTTATTGACTATCTAGCACATACAAAATCTCTACTGTACTAGTCAGAAGTTATAAAGGAAAATAAAAGGTTGGTATCTTCACAGGTTTTACAGATTCAGAATTTAGTTTAAGAGTATCGAGAAGTACCATTTATTGAGCACTTATTATAAGCCAGGTGCTTTTCCTATCACAATCTTCTCAAATATCTTACAAAATAAATAATTCCATTTTACAAAAGAGGAGTCTGGACTAAGAGTTACATAGTAAATGACTGAGCTGGCATTTGAACCCAGATCTCTCCGTGACTAAAATGCTCCATACTGGTTTCTCTGATATACACTGATCACCAGCCCTACTCAACCACAGGCCCACTTCAAAGCTCAACCACCACATCCATTCCCTTCACACAGAAGCCCTGTATCTGTGAGAACAATGAAAAACCAAACACCAGATTTACATTCAGTACACTTGTTGTTAAACTAAACCTAGACAAAGTCAGACTGAGAACCTTCGAATAACATTTCTGTGTGTGTGTTTCTCCCTCAGTAGGAAAGAACCAAAAATTTAATGAGAAAAAAATCGTTTTTTTCAAGTGTGCTACATTTAATACCAAAAACTAAAAGTAACATCACCTTCTAGATCTTATGCATTTAGTGGTGACCCACTGACAAATGAAGCAGAAAAATAAGCCATCATCCAGACAACTTTTGGCTAACTGCATATTTTTGCAAAATCAGGAATTTTGTCAGTATGATATAATCATCAATTCACTTATTTGCTGCATGCACTTTGACAATATAGACCAAACTTTAGAGTATTTTCTGATACAGGTAGACACCAGAGGCAGGTCGCACCAATCTTGGTAGTCAAAATGGAGGCTCTCAGTTCACCTATCTTGTTTCCATTTTCATCGGCTACTGTACCTGTGAAGCAAGGCCTAAAGGAAGCCCTATAGCAGTATCTGATGAATCCAAGGTATGGTACTTACCACATTAGAGTTGAGATGAGAAGACCAACACCCACACAATCTATGAACACAACCCAAAGGAGCAGCTTTATCATCTTAAAAAATCCCATGTCCAGCACAAAGCCAAATCCTACAGTGGACACTGAAAGAAAGATTTACAAGATTCATCAGGCACTTTGCAAGGTTCTGGGGATACTGGACACAGCCCCTGCACCTCCAGATGCCCTCCGTCCAGGGGGAGAGAGACATGAAAACAAAACCCCCAAGATGTGTGCTATGGGATTAAGAAATGCAGACCAACGTGGAGCATGGAAGGGCCACTGAGCTATCTCGCTTTACCAAGAAGGACCTCGTCTGTCTGTGCTTCACCAGGGTGGCCCAGCATCTCAGTTAAAGGTGAGAAAAACCTCACACTTCAACACCCTAAAGACGTTCCCTACACTACCGAAGAACTTAAAAGTAGTTTCTCAAGTTCCTAGCAGTGTTTTTACAACTCCCCCTCTGCATTTCCCTGATGGTGAACAGCAATTTACAACCTTGACGTTCCTTCCTGTTCACAGTAAGTTTGCCTTTGGGGACGGAGGTATTTATCACAGTGGTTAGGAGGCACCGAGAGCCTCTGTTCCTCCGCTTTTTCATGTTCCCAGGTAACGGCTTACTCTGGCAATGGCTTGGGCCCTTTAGAACCAGGAAGAATACAGAAAAGAGGCAGCAGCTTTAAATGAACCCAAATTCCGACCCACAACAGTTTACAACAAAAGAGTCCCCAAATGGCAAGTCCGATCAAAGGCTCAATTTGTCTTTTCAACTGCAGACCAGCGCACACTTACCGCACAGCCAGATACTTAGCAGCACCAAGAAAGCCGGGTCGTCTCTCGCCCACTGATCCTTCGTCTGCTTTCGGTAATGAAAGTTCCTATAGACCCTCTGCGGGGAAGTGAACAGGTAGAGCATCTGCCAGCCAGCAAACTCGAAGTCCATTTGCCGGAAACGGAAAAGCCTTCTCAGGTATTTGTAGCGCTTCGCCCCCGCCGTGTGTCTCGCTGCATCCCTGGAATTCAGGGCTCCGTTCCCCTGCAGCGGGGAGCTCGCTGAACTTGGTAACATCTTCCTGGGGGGTAAAACCTTTTACTAGGAACAGGAAGGACTCCTCTTCCGAGACATGCAGGAGGGGGGTCGCCTGACACTTCTGCCCCACTCCTTCCTTGGGAAGGGACAGCTGGCATAGTGGCCAGGGGCAGCACCACACCATTCTGAACCATCACAGTAACGCCTAACACCTATAGGGGCCATATCTCAATCTCAGAGAGAGAGAGAGAGAGAGAGAGAGAGAGAGAGAGAGAGAGAGCGCTCAAATTCTGGCTCTCAATCCCGTGCTCCTAGGTGCCCGCCTCTACGTAAATGACCTAATCGCACAGGTGGTCCATCACAGCATTACCAGTTCCCTAGAAGGTGATTTAAAAATAAAGCAAAACTAAAACCCAGTGTTTTACTCCACGAAGAGTTCATCGGGAACGGCACCGTGGAAGACGGGGCG